AGCAGCAATAAACATGGGGGTGCAGGTATCTTTTTCAATCAGTATTTTTGTGTCTTTTGGGTAGATACCTTGGAGTGGGATTGCTGGGTCATAGGGAAACTCCATGTTAAGCAGTTTGAGGACCCTCCAAACAGTTTTCCATAGTGGTTGTACTAGTTTGCATTCCCGTGGGCCATTGTAAGACTATTCTCACACCTAATTAGTGCTCAGTTATTAGTTATTAATCTTACAATTTCAAAATGTTTATTTCAGAATATTTTGATCGATGCCTGTGTTTTAGACTCTGACTCAGGACTCCTCCAGCAGGTATGTCTCAGGTGAGGGCTGGTGTTGGTGCTGGGCAATGAAGGTATGTCCGGGGGCCTGTCGTGAGGTGCTTTCTCCAGACTTCTCACGTATTTAGGGATGAGTATGACACTGTAGATGGCAGCACCCCTAGCTCGTGGGTCTGTCTAAAGTTTTTATTTATGTTTGACATCATGATTTTATTGACTTTGTAAAAGTGAGGCATACATTCAGTGAATTCCAGCAACACAGATAAGTGTCCTTTCAGAAGGTAAAAGAAAAATCTCTTCAAAACCCTTCAACCAAAAGTACCAGTGCTAATACATAAGCAGCACCACAGCTGTGTTTTTGAAATGAGTCTTGTTTGGGTTGAGAGAGGCTGAATTTCAAAGACTGTGTGTTGGGGACCAGCCCCAACTATTGAGGTGTCTGGAGGCAAGACAGGCAGGGCCCTAAGGTGGGAAGGCATAGGTGAGTGGAGATTCCAAAAGGGGAAAGGGGAGCTTGTGCGAGGAAGACACGGGAGTCAGAGTTGGGTGCAAGTCTTCCAGCTCATTCCTTCAACAGGTCTTTATACTGTCTAGCAAGTAGTTAATTGCAGTAGTGCATAGGGTAAGTTAATGAGAGATCACCATAAATTGTCGTAAATGTTCTCAAGGACAAGGGGAACAAAGCGTTTTTCTCTTTTAACATTTTATGGTATACTAGATTATACATTTTTGTGATAATTATCATGTGTACAGATGTTTAGTTATAACTCAAAGGAAGAGGGGTCTGGGAAGGGATGAGCTTGTTAGCAAGAGGTTATTAGGAGTCTTAGGGAAGTAATAAATTGTGTTAGCAGTGTTATCAGTGATTGTTTAAAGAAAAGCTAATGGCTAATTTAAGGCTAGCAGAAAGTAGTGCTTGTTTTAAAAAGGAGTAAATTAAGAGAAAGTTGTACAGTTGTGTATTAAGCAACACCTCTGTAATCAAGGTTAAAAATTGTCCATGAGTCTTTATGCCCTAGGGGTCTTATCTGAGATTTGCTTTTTATTTAAAGAAACCAAGGAAGCTTCCCAGGAGTTTTTATGCCCTGGGGTCTTATTTCTCCTGGGGCTTACCTTTTGTCTCAGGAGACAGAGGAGTTTCCAGGCCTGGGGCAGCTTGCCTGAGCCAGGCAGCCACCTTATGAGGCTAAGGCAATCCAGTTGTAAACTGATGGTTGCCCAGAATATTTTGATATTATGATTATATAAAAAAGGGAGGTCATAACAGAAGTTAGCAGTGGAAATTCTGATTTTTCAGAGCTTTTCCTTTTCTATCTGGAATTTGTCAGTGGATAGAAGTTGCATAGCTTATGTCAACTGTGTGTGAAAACAGGATGTAAAAAAATCCCATTAATGATTTTTATTTTGGTTACATATTACAATAGTAATGCTTTGGATGTATTGAGTTAAATAAAATGTTATTCAAATTAATTTTATCTCTTTCCTTTGTTATGCGACTTGGAAGCTTTACATCACATGTAGTGATTCCTTCTCTATGCTTAGACAGCACTGTCAAGGCTAACTTTTTTATCAAAAATAAGACTGAAGACATTACCAAACTATTGATAATGTTTCTTGCCCACGAGAAATAGGTTTCCAAAAAGGTCAGGTCTAACGCTGGCAATTTGTATCTTTGCAGGCTGCCTGCCTGTGTCTGAGAGCATCTCTTTCCTTTGTTCCCTTTCCTCAGTAAATTGCCTGAGCTGATGAGTGGGAATTCTGAATTCTTCTCAGAGGGACCCAAGAATCACCCTTCCCCAACCAAAAAAATAAGCCGAAAACTGTATAAGACCTTGGGGGCAGTGACTGCCAGAATGTGGTGGGAAGGGGTTTCTGAGAATCTGGGGCTGGCCTATTTCTTAGGCTTTATGGTAGGTGATAGTGTTCTTTTGGAATGTAGAGTGGGTGGGCCAGCCCCTTAGGAAAAGTGAAACTGCTGAAACTGCTTTAGAAAGTTAAACAATTATAATATGGCTCAACAATTCCATTCCTAGCTACATGTCCAGAGTGTGAAAGTGTTCACTCATAGGGTGGCCCAGGAACATTCATGGCCATCCTGCCATCACAGCTGAGGGTGGGAAGGCCCCAGATGTGCAGCAGCAGCAGCAGCCAGTGGATCAATAAATCATGGCCAGCCACACTGTGGAATATTATTTGATCATAAAATGGAACAAAGTGCTGACGCGAGCCACAATATGGGTGAGCCTTGAAAACATTTTAGGGCAGCCCAAAGGGCATGTGTTACATGGCTCCAAGTCTAAAATGTCCAGAACAGGCAAGACCAGTGGTTGCCAGGGAGTGGCTCACTAATAGGTACTGGTTTCCTTTTGGGGAGATGAGAGTGTTCTGGAACTACATAATGTGACAGCTGCATGGCTCTAAATATAATCAAAACCAGGTAACTGTTCATGTTAATGGGATGAATTTTCTGGCTTGTAAATTATAGCTCAGAGCTTTTATTTAAATATAACGAAAATAAGTAGACTTGGTAAGATTAAAAATGTACTAGCTGCAAGAAAATGGGAATAAGGTTGTAGACTTTCCTACACTAATCTTTTGGTGAAAGGGCATAGACTGAAGAGGGACACAAGGTATTTGAGCATCTTGAGAGGTAGTAGGAAGTTTCTGGTCCTCATTTACTCTGGGAAGAAATCCTTTCATTCATCGGTTACATCCTCTCTAGAAACCTGAAGAATCGCTGGTAGGCATTACCTCCCTCTGCAAACCCAAGAGCTGCAACGAACAGAGAGCCCTTTGTGTATCTTGCAGGCTTGTGACATCACAGGGGGTCTGTACTTGAAGGTGCCTCAGATGCCCTCCCTCCTGCAGTATTTACTGGTAAGGAGATGGCAACAGTGACCCTATCACCTCAGGCAGGGACCCCTGCTTCCTAGAGGACAAATGAGAATAAGATGGCTGATGCTTGTAATGAGAAAAAAGGAATGGCCTTTTTTACTTTGATGTATGCATAAATGTACATCAAAATAAATCTTTAAAAAAACAAAAGGAGGCCCTCCCTGATGGTGCAGCGAGTTAAATTGCAGCAATGTATGCCAGCCACAGCTGCTGCACTGGGAGTTCGATCCCCGCCCCGGAGGTGATCCACATGGTGAGGCAGACCTCTCCTGTCTTGCCCACTGCTGTCCTCAGCAGTGTATTTCAGTAGATCTGCCTGTTCTGCTCCTCACACTGTTTCTGTTGAATCCCACTGCACCTCTGGCCCACACTGTAGTTCTTCTACGCAAAAAAAAAAAAAAAAAAAGTGACTTTGCCTATTTTTTTTTCTTTAAACAGTGGGTTTTTCTTCCTGATCAAGATCAGAGATCTCAGTTAATTCTCCCACCCCCAATTCACGTTGACTACCGGGCAGCCTGCTTCTGCCATCGCAACCTCATTGAGATCGGCTATGTCTGCTCTGTGTGCTTATCAAGTAAGTTCATGTCCTGATTCAGGCCTGGGGTTTTTTCTTTCCTGTTTTGGGACAGGCAGAAAGCATTTCAACTGTGGGGTTTTGAAACTATCCTGCATTTCTTGTTTTTTTTCATTTACAGTTTTCTGCAGTTTCAGCCCTATCTGCACTACTTGCGAGTAAGTATCTTTGAATTGGGGTGCTAACCTCTCTCAGAGAACAGAGCCTTGAAATGTGTTTTCTATGTCCTTTCAGGACAGCCTTTAAGATATCTCTGCCTCCCATACTGAAGGCCAAGAAAAAGAAACTGAAAGCGTCTACGTGATAATGGTTGTTTTCTCTCTCAGCACTATTAATACAGGTGTGATGATGCAAGCTGGGTTGGGAAGGTCTTGAAAAAAAAATATAGGCGTGTGAGCTGATTTGTAGTGAAGAGCCTAAACACCATCCCCATTCTGTGCTTGGGGGCCCTGATTGACTTGAGTTGGTCATTCTAGGCATACGTACCCTCAATCTTTTCTGACTGGTTTTTATCCAGAAAGGGGGAAGAAAGCAAAAACTTGAGACATTCTTGTAATGGGGTGATCTTTTGAAAAATCAGTCTGTCCTGACTGACTGTAGACTTTAGAACCAGTGACCCAAAGTCTACGTTCTTACTGTGAAACATACAACATGTGAAATTTAAACACAGTTTTGGGAAAAGTGACTGTGAAGTGATCGGTACATCAAGATAGAACATCTTACTTGAATTAACAGTTAACTTCAACAATAAACATATAAATAAAAATCCTTACTGTCTAAACTGATATTTGGCTTCTGCCATTAGGAAATATCTTTTTTTCTGCCATCACTACACCAATAAATGTTTACAGTGATCCAAATAATAATAGTTTGTCACTGACGAGCCACAATATCTGTTAAGAAGAGTGGGTGAGTAGCCTGGTTGTGACTTTTTCTTCAGAAACAATGCTGGGGAGAGCTTGTTTGTGAAAGTTAATGTCTGAGTTCTGATAGGGTCTTGGGGAGAGACTAGAGTCGTTGTAATTGTCACTCCACAGTCTTTTTTTTTTAATCGATGTAATACTGGCTTATGGCATCATGTGATCCAGGGGCACCGGCTCTCATGTCACCATGCCACCACCGCCACCAGGGCACCAGTCCTCTCCCAGGCCTGCCTCACCCCCACCCCTTCCTAGCCTTAATTGTCTGATTTCTAGTGTTTATTACCGGGTCGATTTTGGTGGACCCTAGCATTCTTCCTTTTTTAATGAGAAGGGGAAAAAAGCATTATTGGATACAGAAAGCTTTGGACTTGATACTGTAAGCTTCTGTAAGTTCAAATGAGAAGTTGTTCATAATTTCAACAATAAAAATCTTATTTTTCTACATAATCTTGAAGTTATTAAATGTGCTTTTAAGTTCTAACATAGCGAAGGGAAGTTTTCATGATGGTGGTTGGTTTGATTTTATTTTAAACTATTTTTTGTTATTTTTAAAAGTATATTGAAAAAAATCCCACTTGTGTACAAAACCTTATATATAAATGAGTTTAAAGTTTTCTCTTTCTACATCTCAGAAATAGTTTCAGTCAAGTAATCTGGTGTTTGGTTACATAATGGTTGGTAGATTTTATCTTCTGGATTTACAGTTTTGTTAAGTATACAAAGATTTTGGTCATCACTTGCAAGTTAGTCCTTAATCTTTAAAAACCTGACTTTCTTTTAAAATTAATTTTTAATATTTCACTGCTTAACTAAGTATAATGAAAGTCAGTATTTTAAGTCCAGGAAATAAAGTGTCATATATCTAAAAGATAATTTCAAACAAGCAGATAAGGTTTTGTTGGTATTTTTTCATTTGAAATGTTTTATGTACTGAATGGGTTCTGTTCTAAGTTTTATTGTGTTTGTAGTTGTTTCATATAAATTTTTATTATTTATATTTACTTGAGTTTCTCTTACTCATAAAAGTTAGAAATGAACTCTAAGGAAAAGAGAAATTATGCACACATAGAGACTAAACAACATGGTGCTATCCAACACGGTTGGATAAAAGAGGAAATCAACACAGCAATTTAAAAATACCTTGCAATGAATGAAAATGATGATCTAAGCTACCACAATCTGTGGGATGCAGCAAAGCAGTCTTAAGGGGGAATATAATTGCAATACAGGCCCACATTATGAAACAAGAAAAATCTCAAATAATCTAATGCAACTTGAAAAGGAGGAACAAATAAGATCCAATGTTAGAAGAAAGGAAGGAATAAAAATGAGTAGAGGGCCTGATGGCACAGTGGGTTAAAGCGCAGCACTACAAAGCTAGCAGCAACTTTGGTATGAGTTCAATCCCCGCCTGGGAGGTGACCCACATGGCACAGCAGACCTCTCCTGATCCGCCTGCTACTCCCCTCAGCAGTGTACTTTTCAATCTGCCTGTCTGTTCCCCACTCTGATTGTGGTGAATCCTCTTACCACCCCTGCACCTCTGGCCTGTATCCCAGTTGTGTATGCATACGTAAATAAATCTTTAAAAAAAAAAATAAGAGTAGAAATAAAATGATTAGAGATTAAAAAAAAAGACTACACAAAACATCAATGGAACTAAAAGTGGTTCTTTGAGAAGATAAACAAAATACATAACCTCTAAATAGGCTAACAAAAAATAAAAAGAAAACGAACATAAACCGAATCACAAATTAAAGAGATTTGTGAGAGCACAGGAATACAAAAAATCATAAGAGAGCAACTGTACCAATAAATCTGGTAATTTTGAAGAAATGCATAAAATTCTAAATCAATATAATCTATGAAGACTGCTTTAGGGGGAAACAGATGAACAAACCAAACACAGGCATGGAAATTGGAACAAAAATAAAAATTTTCCAAGAAACAAAACCTGAGGCCAAGATGGCTTTACAAAATGAATTTTGAGACTTTCTTGTAATGGGACGATCTTTTGCAAAATCACTTTGTTCTGACTCACTGTAGACTTTAGAACCAGTGACCCAGTTCTACGTCCTTACTGTGAAACATACAATTTGTGAAATTTAAACACAGTTTTAGGAAAAGTGACTGTGATAAACTAATGCCCATCTTGCTCAAATTGTTTTTAAAAATATAAGGAAGAATGCTTCTTAATATGTTTTATGATGCTAATATTACTTTAATAATAAAGACAAAGATAGCACAAGAAAATTATAGATCAGTATTACAGATGAACATTAATGCAGACATTTTCAATAAAATACTAGCAAGTTGAATTCAACAGTATATCCCAAGGATTATCAAACAGGATCAAATGGAATTCATCCCAGAGATGTAAGGATAATTCAATCAGTGTAATACATCATATCTACAAAAGTAAAGATACTTTTTCCATAAGAGCAGAGAAAGCATTTGATAAAATTCAGTACCATTCATAATAAAAATGCTAAACAAGATGGGACTAGAGGGCACCTACCTCACTGTAATAAAGGTGTATATCATTAATCAACCACAATATAATGTTGAGAAACTGAAAGCTTTTCCCAAAAGATCCAGCGCAAGACCCCACTGCCCATTTGTCATCACTTCTGTGTAACTTAGAAGGTTTGGCCATCAGGTGCAGGAAGTATAGGGAATCCAAGCAGGAAGAGAAGTGCAACTGTTTTTGCTTGCAGATGAAGACCCTAAAGACACCATCAGAATGTTAACTAGGAAAGATGACTTGCAAGGTGGCAGGTTACAAACACACAAAAATATAGCATTTGTATATACAATGAAGAAGACAAAAGAAAAGAACTCCACTTATATTTGCATCAAAAAGAATTAAATACAGGGGTCCTCCCTGGTGGCTGGAGCAGGTTAAAGCACAGACCTGCAACCTAGCTGCCGCTTAGGTGTGTTGGATCCCTGCCCCAGGGGTCATCCACACACATGGCACAGCAGACCTCTCCTGACCAGCCTGCTGCTCCCCTCAGCAGTGTACATCATCGATCTGCCAGTTCTGCTCCCCACTCTAGCTCTGGTGAATCCTCACACCGCCCCAACACCTCTGGCCTGTACCCCAGTTCTGTATAAGTACTGCATGCTAACCGATTGCGCCACTGGAGCTCCTGTACCCCAGTTCTGTAGGCCTGCAAAATAAAGTCATAGAAGAAGGCACTGGTGATACATTCCATGAGATTAACAAGATATTTCCTTTCCCTATGGCAAGGACATTAAAAACAATAAACAGGGTCCTCCCTGGTGGCGGAGTGAGTTAAAGCACAGCACTAAGAAGCTAAAGCCACTTCAGCATGAGTTCTTTCCATGCCCCGGAGTTGACCCACATGGCGTGGCAGACCTCTCCTGACCCATCCACTGCTCCCCTCAGCAGTGTACTTTGTCAGTCGGCCTGTTCTGTTCCCCACTCTGTCTCTGATGAATCACCGCCCCTGCACCTCTGGCCTGTACCCAAGTTCTATATGCATAAATAAATGAATCTTAAAAAAAAAATGCAAACAATTGGATCATCTCAAGTTAAACAGTTTCTATTCAGTGAAAGAAAATACAAGATGACTAAATAGAGGCCCTACTGAATGTGAGAAAATATTCACACAGTATATAAAGCTAATAAGGGATTAATGTCTAAGATATACAAAAAGTGCATATGATGTAACAATTTAAAAAACCCAATTAATTAATGAGCAGCAGATATTAATGGACATTTCACCATAGAGGATACCCTAAAGGCCAAGACATGAGAAATGTCTTAGCATCACTTCTAATATGAGAGAGATGCAGATTAAAATTACAATGAGATGCCATCTCACACCCCCAACAAGACCCCCAACAGGAAGGGTTGGAGAGGACTTGGAGAAAGAGGAGCCCTATCATACTATTGCTGAGACTGAATGGTGCAACTTCTGAGGGAAGAAACCTGGATTTACCTTAGAAACGAAAAATGGAGGCCCCTCCCTGGTGGCACAGCAGGTTAAAGTGCAGCACTTTGAGGCTGGCTGCAGCAGCTTGAGCACCGGTTCAATCCCGGGCCAGGGAGCTTGACACATGGTGCGGCAGACTTCTGTCATCTGCTGTTCCCCTCAGCAGTGTACTTCAGCAAGGGGCCGGTTCTGTTCCTCATTCTGTCTCTGGTGGATCCTCTCACCAGTCTTGCACTTTTGGCCTGTACTCCAGTTCTGTGTTCTGTATGCATAAATAAATAGATCTTTAACAACAAAAACAAAAATGGAGGGGCCTTCCTGGTGGCGCAGGGGGTTTAAAGTACAGCACTGTGAATCTATGGGCAGCCACTGCAGCACTCTGTCTCTGGTGAATCCTCTCACCACCTTCCCATCTCTGGCCAATACCTTGGTTCTTGTATGCATGAATAAATCTTTTTAAAATAAAACAAAAAAATGGAAATATCAATATATCTGACACTCATACTCTTGGGCACAAATTCGCAGGATATGAAATAAGACACTGTATGCTTCACAATGTTCATAGCAGCATTATTTATGATAGCTATGGCAGGGAAGTAATAAATGCCCGTCGAACATTGGCTCACAAAGATGTGGTATATACATACCATGGGATCTTCTACAGCTATAAGAAAGGGTGAAATGTAACCATTTTTAATAGGGCGTTTGAGAGAATGTGCAGCAGTCAGAATGATAAATATTGGATATAGCAGACTATAATGTAAAAACACTTTCAAAAACTAATGGATATTAATATCCTGGGGAAGGGGAAGGAGTGGAGATGGGTGGAAGGGAGTACACAGGGAATATGGTGATGGACTAGGGGTGCTTTGGTGTGGGGAGGACTTTGGTGTCTGTGCCTGAAGGGAAAAATACTACATTGTGCAGAAATTAAAACAAAACAAAACATCCGTACCGTGTCTGATGACAAGAGGTTGCATAGCTTGTGTCAGGTCAAATAAGTGTAACTATGTCAGGGTGTCTATTTAAAATGCACAACAGCATGGTAAGATTGTCTTTTTTAGACTCACTCTTGAACTTAGTGAATATAAGGATTTATAGCACACTTAAAATACCCCATGATCATTTGTGTTTGCTTGATTTCTTATGTTTTACCTAAATGTAAAGGCATTTTTGACCCAAAGATTAAAAATAATCCAACATGCCAGTTTTCTTCATTGAACATGGTTACTTTTTAAGGGAAGAATGGCTGGTTAATTCAAAGATTGTGCATAATTAATTGCACAATTCAAAGACAACTTTATTAATTTAGAACCAGCTACTGTCTTACAAATTGATTCTGCAGAGACAGTTACCACATGAGAGATGTCATCACTTAAGAGAATTTCAGAAGTCTGTTACACAATAGCTCACTGCCATAATGTGACAACCCCAGCCACCCAGCTTTGCAAGTGTATAAACAAAAGATAATGCTTGGTGTGAGGCCCTTTCAGAATGCTAGATCTGCCGACTAATAATAGATCTGTGATTGATTACTACATAACATCTATACTTACCTGCCAATTGCTGCATTTGTCTTGCACAGTGCTGAACACCATCCATGGCCTTTCTCCTTGACTGGCCACCTCTCTGACAGCAAGCACCACCTTAACACTTACTGTTTACTTACATTCCAGGTGTTGGTCTCAGCTCACTACTAGGTCACCTCAATTACTTAATACGCAATCCTTTTAGGTTGGGGCTATTACCTTCTTCCGTTTTTTTTTTTTTAATTTTTAAAAAGATGAGGAAACTCAAGTGGCTTGTTCCAGATCACTTAACAGCTAAAGAGCATCTGTGGGAGGCAGGCGTAAACACAGCTCAGGCTTTGCAATATCTGAGCCTGCTCCCTTAGTCACCCGGCTGTGATAAAGCTTACCAAGCTGGTAAAATCATTGCTAAGAAAAGTTTTTTTCCCCTGGAGATTCAGATGCGGCCCTAAGGCTGTGCAAAGTTCTTTCGTGTGTCCTTTGATTGTCTCTGTTTTGTGAATGCTGAGACCTCTGCTGGGAGCGAGGAGAAGACCAAAAAAATCGGACTTTAATAGCTACACAGTTACAGTAATACAGCCTTTCCCCTCAAATATCATGAAAAACGATCTTATTAAGGAGCTTGTTCAAAACCCAGTGCCTGTAGGTACGCTCTTCAATGTGATGGAATGAGCTCGGGGTGGGGGGTACTCCAAGCGTTAAGCCCAAGAACACCCTTATATTTTCCGCTGTCCCTCCAGCAGTTGAGCGGCGCCCAAAGCGGGAGCCTCCTGGGGGCGGGCTCACGCCTCCGCTGGCCCAATCACGCTCCGCTCTGCCTAGTCGGCGGCCGATTGGTGGTTGCCATAGCTCCCGACGTTCGCTTGATAAGATGGCGGCGGCCGGACCGAGCGGGCCGCGTTCCGGCTTCAGTGCGGATTCTGGCTTCTAAGATCCGCCGCTTCCCGCGCGCACCCCGCCGGGTCCCAGGCATGGGCTTTCCGCGGCCGACCCCTCTGCTCCTGGGGCTGCTCCTTCTGCAGGGCGTCCCGAGGCCGCTGCAGGGGGACCTCGGTGTGTGCGGCGGGGTTGGGGCCTGCTGGGCGTGGTGGGGAACAAGGCAAGTGTGAGGGGCCAGATTCGGTCTCCTCCAGGCACTCGGCAGACACGCCATCAAAGGAAGCCGTCACACAGCTCCGGCAGGGACTCTGCAGTTATTGACCCCTCCCTATTCTTTCCTTTCCTCCCAGTTTTCGTCCCTCCCTTCATCCACATGTCTGGTCCTGAGGTCAGCGCGGCCTTGGTGGGAGGAACGGAGGATGTGAAGGTGTCCCTGGCGGTGCTGCACAGTGAGAAGGGTAAAAGGCCTTTGCTGTGGAGAAGGCTGGGGTTGGTCCAGGTCTTGGCCGCTCAGGGAGGCTGGCGGGTTGCATCCTGCGGGTCTCCTGCTGATGTCCACTGCAAACCCGGAATGGGGAGGAGGGTGGGAGAGGAAGATGTGGACCAGATCCGATAAAAGACTGCCTAGAATCATATTGGCTGTCCCTGCACCTTACACTTGTCACCTCATTGTTCTTAACAAGCACAGCAAAATCTTTCAATCCCATTGAAGATACTGAAGTTCAGAGGTTGTCACTTGTCCAAGGTCACACAGCTTGTAAAGGGCTAAATCCTAGGCTTGGAAGGGGATTTCAC